TTGCCCAGGGTCACACAGCTAGTAAGTGTCAAGTGTTTGGTCTGAGGCTGGATTTGAACTCAGATACTCCTGATGTCAGGGCCGGTGCTCTATCCACTGTGCCCCCTGGCTGCCCCCGGAGCATATTTTTCATGTGGCCATAAACCACTTGGATTTCTTCATTTGAGAATTGTTTATATTCCTTGACCATTTACCTCCATTTGTTAGGAATTTTTCTCTATATCATTCCTTGCTTCTTCACAACTTTCACCCATTTCTCCCAGTTCAGCCCTCAGTGTCTGAGCACAAGCTTACAGCTGAATCTCTCCTCATACCAGTCCATCCTCCACTCAGCTGCCAAAGTGGTCTTCCTAATGCAGAAGTCTGACCATGCTATTCTCCCACTCAATAAACTCCAATTGCTCCCGATTTTCTTCAGAATCAAATATAAAATCCTCTGTTTGTCTTCCAAAGCCCTTCATAACCTAGCCCTCTCCCATCTTCCCAGTCTTCTTCTATTTTACTCCCTACCACATACTCTTTAATGCAGCCTCCTGTCTGTTCCTCAAACAAGACACCCCATCTCCTGACTCCAAACATTTTCACTTGCTATTTCTCATGCCTGGAACTCTCTCCCTCCTCATCTCTACCCCTGGCTTCCTTCAGATCTTGGCTGATGTCACACCTGTAAAAAGCCTTTCTCAACTTCCCTTAAGGCTAGTGTTCTCCCACCATTGATTATCCTCACTGTGTCCTGGATATTACTTGTTTGTGAACATTGTCTTCTTCATTAGACTATGAGCTCTTAGAGAGGAGGCTTTGTGTTTTGCCTTTCTTAGTATCCCTAGTACTGAGCACATGGTGCCTACTACATCATAGGCACTTAGCGCTAGTTGATTGACTGCAGTTAATTCCTCTTCTGCATAAGAATCAACCAGAGAGATACTTGAAAATACTTGAAAAAAAGCTATCATGTCCTTCACAGATCTTCTCTTCTTCCCTTCTTTCAACTGAATCTCTTAGATCATAATCTCTAACCTTTCTGTTCACCCAACTTGGGCAGCTTTTCAATTTATCAATGCCCTTCTTTGTCTCCAGAGATCTGGGAGATCTGACCCCTAAGGCTGTTCATTTCCAAAAAGTGCTGACTAATATTGACTTCGTCAACTTGTGGTCTTAGAGAAGATTGAGAATTGTTTCCTCAATTAGGGCATGAAAAATACCTGATCCAAATATTGCTGCTAGAAGTAAATAGCTCAGTACACCAGAGTGAATTAGCTATTAAAAGGTAACATACTAACCATGAGAGAGCTTCATTGCTATTTGATAATTTGGTGCTTGGGAAATGTACTGTGTTGGTTTATTTGGGCTATAACATAGATACACTAATTCAGTAGTGTACTTCTGAAGAGAGAGACTTAGCTTAGGAGCTGAGGCTGATAAAATAGGTATCCAAGAATTCATCATTGAGCAGAAGCTTCATCACTCTCAACTGGAGCTGCTTTCTAGCTGGCAGTGCTTTTGGTTGTAGAGCAATGATGTCATAATTTTATTACCTCTTTTTGGAAATATTTGTCTCGCTGTAGGAATGTTATGGAATCTTTGGCAAGATTCTGAACCAAGTTGTTTTTCTCCTGGAGACACCAAGGAGTGGCTGTCAATAGGCACTGTCACTTTGTGACCATGCCTTGGAATTATTTCTTCCTTAGGGATCTGAAACTCAATTGAAAGCTACAGCCTGTCTTATCCTCATTCTCTCTTTCTTAACTGAGGAAGTTTGGGGGTTATGGAAATGAGATTCAGGTTTCTTTTTGCCACATTTTGCCCAAGCATGTAGCCTGAGTACAAGTGGATGTGTGATGCCTAAGGGATGTGAGAAGCCTTGTTATAACTACTGTGGCAATTAAAAAGGTTCGAGAGACATAAATTCTGGGTAATTTAATCATTTTATCAATAAGACCAGCATGCTTATTAATAAAAGGATGGTCATTTGGCCATCTCTCTTAGACCAAAGACAATCATGGGGGTGGGCTCAGGGCTTATATGTTCTTTTAGAAGAAGAGTGACAATCAATTCTGTTGGGTTAACAATTAATGAGAGAATGACTGTTACAATGAAGGGTTGAGGGTAGCATCATATCATCCTGGGACAGAGAAACTACCTCTATACCCAGACCATCTCCAGCCTTGGGCAGTCTATTCAAACAACTTATGCCTGGGCATAAGTTTGGGCAGAACACAATGGCTATTCCACATGAGTGGGGCCTGAACAAGGAAAATCAGTCTAGTTTCAACATCATCAGTCCTTTGAGAGACTGAACCTTTTAAAATCAGGACTTTAGAAAAAGGGGAGAACCCTGGATCTCCTCAAATAATTAGTTAATAATAATCATTTCTCTCACTCTGTTTCTCATGCCACTACATGTATGCCTCAGTCTAAATATTGTTGGCACGAAACATCCTTTGTATGACTAGCAAGTCTATCCTTGATTAGTGGCCAACCACCAGGAGATACTGACCCTGAGGGAATGTAGGATGTCACCTTATGATCCAGCTCCGTGTTGCTCTGGACTCTATGCTTGGAAGCTATTAGAAGAAACTAGGAACTGTGCATGGCTCAAATAACTTGAAGGAACTGCTAATTTTTCTGTCCAGGATAGGATGTATTCCCTTTGACCTGAGTGAGAATATCCACCAGAGAAGCATCCACCTGTGAATCACCTGTCTCAGCAACAAGACTTTGTGTGGATGTGATGTACTCATTGGTTCTTCTAATATAATGGAATCTTCCTGAGGGCAGAGATTGTTTCACTTTTGTCTTTGTGTCTCAGCACAGTGTCTGGCACATAGTAGATTCTCAGTAAATGCTCTTTTGATTGTGAATGAGAAGAAATCAAACAAAGACAAGCTTGATGCTATTTGTTAATGGTGGAATGTTTCCTTTTATTTATGAGTAGGTGGTGCTTATTTAAAAAAAAAGAAATCAGGAAGGATGGATAAGTGTGCAAATCCATTGAGTTAGGGAGTCCAGCAAAGAGTTACACTAAGTTGGTTCACCACATACTCTTTGATCCAGTAGCACTGACCTCTTTGCTATTCTAGAAACAAGACACTCTATCTCTTAGCTTTAGGCATCTTCTCGGGCTGTCCCCCATACCTGGATCGGACCTCCTTATTTCTCCTCCTAGCTTCCATGTTTTCCTTTAAGTCTCAGCTGAGATCCTATTTTTTTTTATAGGAACCCCTCTTACTTGTAGTCCCTTCCCTCTCATTTTCTTCCTATTTACCCTATATAGAGCTTGTTTGTACATATTTGTTTGCTTGTTATCTCACATATTAGATTGTGGGTTCCTTGAGGATGGGGACTATCTTTTGCCTTTTTTTTGTATCCCCAGCACTTAGCACAGTGCCTGGCACATAGCAGGTGCTAAATAAATTTTTATTGACTGACTGACAAAGAATGTCTTTTAGCCCCTTGACTTTAAACAATTATAATTAAGATCTAATCTAGTCTTAAAAACTGATTCACTTTGCTGACATAAATCAAGTTAGGATTTGCCACACTGCTCTGGATTTCTTTTTTCTAAACCAATTTTTCTTCTTTTCTTTTCCTTCTAGGGTGCCAGGGAAGCTGATTACAAAATGGAGAAGAATCAATTAGTGGATTGTTTTGTTTTATTGTGTAGCATGAGCTAGAAAACACTGCCCCATTTTTACGTGCTTTTCAATTTAGATTAAAAACTAGAACAAAAAAGATACAGATGTAATTTTTAGCTGGGAAATAATGTACAAGGAAAACAAATTAAAACAAAATCACAGGCAGCTTTTGAGAAGTGACTTTCTGTAGATAACTTGTGTTTTTTTTTTCTTAAGCTGATGTCTCCCAAGGGAAATCTCTCCCTAGTGTACTTGTACACTTAGAAGTGGAAGCTTCATACTCCTGCATCTTCATTTATTCCAACTGTATAATGATTGTTTAGATGATGTGTCCTTACCTCTCAGGTGACCTTGTAAGAGGGAAAAGATGGAAAATGCATATAAAAAATTCCTTTTAAAAATTGTACTGCTTCAGGACACGGTATGAATTGTTGAGGAATAAAAGGTCCCCTTATTGTCTTGCATTCTGCTCTGAAGCATTTAATGTTCTGTCAACTACTAGTTAATGAAACCTACAAGGCACCTGCCACAGACTTACTTTAGGCAATCAAGATGCTAATTTTTAAACATAGGTTTCTATCTGAGGAGCAAACTTTTACATTGTTTGGTGAACATTGTATTAGAATTACAGTATTAGATGCTAACTGTATCTAGTGAGATATGAAAATAGAAATGTTGTAGTAGTATAGATTTTGCTTTTAGATGCTTCTACCCTGTCCATGAATATAATGGGATAATTTTTTAAAAAATCATTGCAGATATGAGCTACATAAAGTGACCCCAGATGCCTAAAACTTGTTGTTTGTTTAGTCATGCCTGACTTTTCATGACCCCATGGAGTTGTCCATAGGATTTTCTTGGCAAAGACACTGGAGTGGTTTGCCATTTCCTACTCCAGTGTGTCCCCATTTTGCAGTTGAGGAACTGAGGTAAATAAAGGTCACACAGCTAGTAAGTATCTAAGGCTGAATTTGAACTCATCTTCCTGATTCCAAGCCCAGTGCTCTAACTACTTTGCCACCTGGCTGCCTGTCTAAAACTCTAGACTCAGGATATTAACTCACAACACTTTTTTACATTAGGCCTATGATATAAGCAGTGCAAATGTTTTTACCCCCATTTTACAGATGAGAAAAATGAGAGTAAGGGAAAGTGAAATGTGGCTTGTAGGTGTCAGAGCTAGGATTTAAACCTTGGTCTCTTGATTTCCAAACATGGTACTCCTTTCCTTTACAGCACCCTGATAGAAGAGAGTCCACTCCTCTGGTTAAAAATAGATGGACTAAATTTCAAACTTTGGAGATTCTTTTTAAGCCTAATCTGATATTTTAAAACCAAAGATCTATGCTCTTTTGGGAAAAATCATGGTAGACTAAAGTCATGGACATTACTTTTCTTTGCGATCAATTTTATGAGTACATTCTGATTTAGGGCTTTCTGTAGAAAGTGTTAACAGTGCTTTCTAGGTGACTCCTGTACTTGAGGAAATGTAGTAGTTCGAGAAGGCTGGTGGCCTATTGAACACAGCTGAAATGCAAGACTAGTAAACATTCATACTTTAAAGGGTAAATGCATGTTTTATACCACTAATGTGGAGTTTAATCACACATCCTGGTCCCTTGAATGAAGTAGTATCCATAGCCACAGAACAATTAAGTAATGTTCAGAATTTGATGAAATGGCATTACTATACAACTCCATGTCCACTAATAATTAAATACACTAAAATCAATGTGACTGACCTAATACATGACTAAATAAAGAATATCTGAATCAAATCTCAATCTAGAGGAGATTGTGAAATCTCCTTTTTTGGAAGATTTTAAAGAACAGGGAAGCTCTACCTTTTAAAAATGGTTTGGTAATGCTTTTTTTTTTAAATATATCACTGTCACTTCTAATAACTTTCACCCACAGAACCCTTCCTTGTCACAAATAAAAACAGCTAAGCAAAAGAAAGCATCAGTGCAACAGCATCTAACGGCACCGTGGTCCACCACCTTGACCCTGAGAGGAAGGAAGACTAGTTCCTTCTCTCCCTTCTGGAGCCAGAATTTGTCACCTAACTCTGCCTTTAGTGGTGTAAGTAAAGCCTTGATTGAAGACACAGAGTAGACCAGCAGACCTTCCAATCCTCGATTTCACAGGGGTTGGGGTGCTGGGAAGGAGCAGTATCAACATCTTTATTGTCTGCAAAAATTCAGTTCACGCTATAAAGGCCCAGTCTTCAGGATCAAAACTATTTCTCAGCCATTTTGATGATACTGGAAGCCCTAGCTGCTTTTCATCTTTCTGAGGGACATCTGTAGCCATTTCTGGAATTTTCATATCCCCAAAAGTGTAATAATTTTTTTAGATACCTTAGTCCTTCTTCCGCAGTGTTTACACTGTGACATCCTAAAGATTTCCTCAAGTGGGGAGACTAGAGGCCAGGAGATTTTGTGATATGGTTGCTGTTGTGATTTTTTGAGAAAAAAGCTGTTTTCTAATCCTAAATTTTTGCTAGTTTATTTTCATAAGATACTGTGATGTCACATAGTTCTGTACATTGAAAATAAACTATTTTGAAGTTGTCTATTCAGTCTCGTTGTTTGGAATTAGACAAATAGACTTGTATTTATTCTATTGTAATGGCCCCTTCATTACCCTTTCAAATCTCCCATTCTCATTCACATGACCGTGCTCTGGTCCTTCTTTACTTCACACTTTAATACACACGCAGGTGTATTAAATACATTAAAACATTATTACATTAATAAATAATTAATACGCCATCTAACTGGTGTGTGTTTACCTCCCAATGCTCCCTTTCCATTTTATCCTGAAGACACCTGGAGGCTAATAAATCTTCTTAATACTTTCCTTACTTCCTTGTGAACATACTTATCCCTTGCCTTATGTTATGCGTTGTTTGCTTATTTTAATATTTCTTTCTTCTGTGGTCCTTTCTCCCAGTACTTATCAATTCCAAAGGTATTCACTTTCATCTTAAGATTAAAACTACTTCATGAAGATCAGAAATAGCTTTTTAAGGCTCTTTATAAAGGCAGTCCCATTTTTTTAAAAAAATTGATTCTGATGTTTTGATTCTACTACAAAATATTTGGCAATGAATCATATTTTACAATTGAATTAGTTATTTACTGTTTTATGGTGGTTTTATTTCTTGCTTAAGTGTAATTAGTAGCAATAAACTTTTTTTACACATTGCTGACAGTACTTATATTTGATGTCATATCTACATAGCTAAGCTTCAGGCTAATTGTAATACTGTTGTCAAAGACTTGGTTGATGGTACTCTCTAATCTCTGCTCATAATAACTAAATTACTGGAGTGTGACATTACAAGTAATAAATGTATCGTGTATGATACTTTATACATTTACATAAAATGTGCTACTTTTGGCATTGGGCTATATTTAATAGGAACATGACAATTTTTATTGTGTAGATCCATTAAAATATTCATAAACCATTAAAAATTGATTCTGAGAAAGAAAGTTTTGAAGGAAAAAAAGTATGCTGTTGAATTATGTCTGACTTTTTGTGACCCTTTTTGGGGTTTTCTTGGCAAAGATACTGGAGTGTTTTGCCATTTCCTTCTCTAACTCATTTTATAGATGAGGAACTGAGGCAAACAAGGTTAAGTGACTTGCTCAGGGTCACACAGCTAATAAGTATCTGAGGCCTAATTTGAAGTCAGGAGATGAGTCTTCCTGATTTTAGGCCTGGTACACTATCCACTGTGTGGCCTAGCATCCTGATTTAAAATACGCATACACATTCACACACACACACACACACACACAGACATATACATACATATATATACACATATATGTGTATATAAAAATTTTGCAATGAATAGTTAAAATATATTCAATATGAAAAATCTTAACTGAATGCTAAAAGCTAGAATTAACCTTGGAGATCTTGTTTAACCTCATTTTATTCATAAGCAAACCGCAGTCCAAAGAGCTCAAATTATTGACCTAAGGTCACACTGCTAAGAAATGTCAGAAATGGGACTCAAGCCCTTGCCTTCTGACTCTTAGAATAGAGGTCTTTCCCTTATGCCAATCACTCTTCTTGGTAAATAGCTTATAAACATTCAGAAAATGCTTATTGTGTGATATTTGTTAAGTAAAACTACACCTTTCTGGTACCTGAAGACCCACAATGAATTCAGGATTCTGGGATTCCCTCAGCTAGATGTATAAAAATTGGAGGCTAGACATCTATCTACATACTAAAGCAAAAAAAGGCACGGAGGAGGATAAGAGAGGATAGTCAAGGGAGGAGGCAGTAAACATTGGCAGCCAGGAGGTATAGTAGATAGAGTGTATCAAACAGCTAGGTGGTGCAGTAGATGGGCCTGGAGTCAGGAGGACCTGAGTTCAAATCCAGCCTCAGATACTTACTCCTCTGTGATCCTAGGCAGGTCACTTAACCTCTGTTTCCCTGAGGTTCCTCCACTGTAAAATGGTGATTGTAATAGTACTTCCACCATAAGGTTGTTATGAAGATTAAATGAGAGAATATTTATATAGCCCTTAGCACAGTGCCTGACACTGACATCATAGGCTCTTAATGATTATTCTCTTCCCTAGTCAGTTTGAAGAACTTTAGTGACGCCAATGTCATGATGTCAGCTCTAGTCATCCTGGCTCCAGGGATGAAACATTCTTTGGCACCATCAAAGTCTTTGGCACTGTCAAATGGTTCATCATTAGAAGCTGATAGGATTTGTCAGTGTAAATTTCATTAAGAAAGATGCATTACCATTCTTTGCTGCTGCATTCCAAGAACCATGAGATTGTTCCATCTAACTTACTGATGAGACCTTCCATACGTGTCTCCTCCATTAAAATGTGAGCTCCTTGAAAGCAGGGGCCATCTTGCTTTTTCTATTTGTATCTCTCACACTTAGCATGGTGCTTTGCACATACGAAGCACTTAATAAATGCTTCATTCATTCGTTGAAAGTAACTTGGAGGTATTTAGTGCAATATTATTTCATTCCTGGGCAGGCTTCTCACTATAGAGGAAGACTCATCTTTGATACCTGGCAGATGCTGACTCTGTTCCTTTGAAATCAAAGGCAGGCTAGCAGAATACAAAATGGAACAAGGAAGTATGTGTGATCAAGGGCAAAATAAGAGGTAACAATAATAGCTCATATTTATATAGTGCCCTAAGGCTTACCAAATCATTTCTCCATGATGATTCTAAGAAGTAGGTGGTATAATTGTTATGCCCATTGTATAGATGAGGAAACTGACAGTCAGAAGGGTTAGGTGATTTTCCTATGATTACACAGTTGGAAAACATCACACAATAAATGTTATGATCTGAGTAGGAGAGAGATTACTATGAAGTGAAGAGTTAAGGGATGGCTTCACAGGGAAGCTAGAAAATTGGCCTTCTGCTTTCAAGAAATAAGAGAATTTGGATGGGAACAGCAGGGGAAGACATTCTGGATGGAGGGAACAACATGAGAAAGACATGGAAAGTGAGGACGTCCACATGGTGAATTTGGAGGACATACTACTTTAAAGCAGGAGAAATGCTGTTTAATCCATAGGATGGTTTCAGATGCTATTATTTAGCATTCTATTATCATTTAATCATTCTAAGTAATTAAACTGTTTTCACAATTGGCCAGAGAGTACACATATCATTATGCCCAATTTAGAGATGAGGAAACTGAGTTTCACAGAGGTTTAGTGACTTGGCCATGGTTACAGAGCTGGTATCTGACTCCAAGTCCACTGAACTTCATATGAACCTAGCTCCCCATAAGTGCCTCTCCATTAATTTTCTTTTTTTAAATTTTATTTTTTTAGGCAATTGGAGTTAAGTGACTTGCCCAAGGTCACACAGCTAGTAAGTGTCTGAGGCCAGATTTGAACTCAGGTCCTCCTGACTCCAGGGCTGGTGCTTTCTCCACTGTACCATCTAGCTGCCCCCTCTCCATTAATTTTCAAACAGAATGAATCCTCAAGGGTACTGGAGATTACTTATCCCCATAGATATTCTTTTTGAACTAACAGTTTCTTGTTTATAATGGTGAACGGGATAGGCACAAACCACTGTCTTGTATCCATGTCTCCTCTTCTTCTGTAACATAGCCACAATACTGGCACAAGCTTCCATCACTTCGCTATTGTAATGTTAATAATAATATTATTATTATATTAGCAATAATAATAAGAATAAAAGACTATTGCAGTAGCCTGATGGTTGGTCTCCCTGACCCAAATCTCTCCCCTCTGTAGCTCATCTTTCACTCAGCTGTCAAATGTCATTGTCATCTTCCTCTCCCACCTGCTGCCTCATCCCTTATTCAACTAACCAATGGCTCCCTATAGCCTCCAGGATGAAATAAAAAATCTTCTGTCTGACTTTTAAAGTCCTTCCTACCTTACCAATCTTCTTACACCTTACATCCCTCCATAAAAATCCCCCATCTGGTAACACTAGATAACCCTCTATTTCCTGACTCTAGGCATTTTCATTGGCTGTCCTGTTCCCCGCCCCCCATGCCTAGAATCCTCTTCCTCCTAATCTCTGCTTCCTGGCTTCATTCATGTCTCAGATAAAGTCTGACCTGGGGGCCATCTCCAGTCGTCCTGATCTATATCTGGTCACTAGACCCAGATGGCTCCAGAGGAGAGAGTGAGGCTGATGACTTCGCACAGCCCTGCCTCACTTAAATCCAAAATACTTGCACATCATGGCATCATCTCCCTGATGTCATTGTCCTCCTTGAGAACAAAAGAGAAACCACGAAGTCCAACCTTCTGCAAGACGCTTTTCCTGGTCTTCCTTAATCTTAAGTGCTTTCCTTCTCAAACAGAATTTGGAGTCTCTCCTTTGCTCTAAGCGCCTTCAAACTTGACTGATACTGATTTGTAAACTCTGTGAAGGGAGGTATGGTGTTCTATTTTTATTCTTTTTATTTCTAACACCTAGTATGGTATCTTGTATACAGTTGACACTTAATACTTGTATGTTGATATTATAGAAGCACTTCTTGCTGGAAAATTACCAAATTTCCCATGAGGCTCCAGACCATAAAGAGGGGCCTCAATGAAGTTTTTAGGACTATAATTCCTAAAAGACCCTATGGCTTTTGGGCAGGGTACCTGCAGTGGAACAATGACAGAGAATTCTAAGAAGTTAGAGTAGTCCCACGGAGAAGACAGCAATGATGGCACCTGCTGCCATAAAATGGACAACCAATGTGTAGTCTTTGTGCCAGTCACTAAGAGCAGGCTGAAAGCAGGCAAAGAGGACCTCTCTATATGACTGAGATGATATACACTGGCAGATGCTCCAAGTGGAGATCCAGATGCCATATATGACCCCCAAACTTTGGTTTGCCTATCCGAGAGGCTTGGCCTTGATCTCTTCACAGTGGAGTATGAATATTGGATGGAACTTTTTGGTCACTGCATAAAGATAAGGCCTAGATCAAGGCTTTTTAACCTGGGAGTTGTGAACATTTAAATAATATTTTTATAAATACGGTTCAGTATATTTGATCTCCTTTGTAATCCTATATATTTTATGCATCAAAAAATTATCCTGACAGGGTACACAGGCCTCAACCAGACTGCCTAAGGGGTCCAGGACACAAACAAGGTTAAGAACTCCTGTCCTAAACCCTGGAGCCCATGGGCTGAGTATTTTCCCGTTCTTTACTCTTTCATTTGGTTAAAATTAAATATTTTACTTTTAAAGTTCATGTTCTTTCTTTTGTTTCCTAACATGATAAAAACCTAAAGGTAGATGTTTTTAGAAGGTCAAAAGTAAGTTAAGATTGGGGCTTAATCCAAATGAGATATAATGATCATCTGATACACTGAACCTAGTAAACCTTGGGATTTCAGAGTTGATGGCTACATTTTGTGAGACAACATGAATGTTACTGAACTTCTACAGAGTTTATGTCAAGCTAAATCTACCTGTCCATTGTGGGGAAAATGGAGGGAGGTGAGAGGAGTAATATTGATGGACCAGGGTATAAATTATTTAATCCAACCTATAGGTCTAAACAAGTAAATTACCTTGTTTACATTGCCTCTAACATTGAGCAGCTAGGTGGCGCAAGGGATAGAGTGTTGGCCCTAGAGTCAGGAGGACCTGAGTTCGAATCTAACCTCAGGCACTTACTAGCTGTTTGATCCTGGGCAAGTCACTAAACTCTGTTTGCCTCAGTTTCCTCATCTTTAAAAAGGAACTGGAGGAGGAAATGGCAAACCACTCCAATATCTTTGCCAAGAACACCTCAGATGGGGTCACACAGAATTGGAGGTGACTGAAATGACACAGCAACCAGTAGTAACATTGAACTAGCGGGCTGCTTTGAGATTTGTATTTTCATAGTCTAGCATATAATAGGATTTAACAGCAGTCATTTTTTTTTCTTCCAGTACGGATCAGCAAGCTAGGGAAGTTGACTCAAGGAATTATGCATAACTGTGCTGAACTGCCATTGTGTGCTTGGGTTATGGTGAATAGCCGCTAAGATTACCCAGCTATTGGAGAAATGATACTCAGCAGTTGAACGAGACCCTTATCAAGGACTGGATTTTTTGGGGGTGGTGGTGGTGGCAGTAGCGATATTAGGAAATCATTGAAGGAACTTTACCCAATGCTGTGGACTCTATGGAGGGGGAGGGAGAAATGAGAGAAATAATAGGTATAGAGAAAAGTCTCAAGTTTCTTCAACTGTAAAACAAGAAGGCTGGAATTGGTGGGCTGTAAGGTCACTTCCAGGGCAGCAGGATGTTGCAGTGGATAGAGTGCTGGTCTTGGAGACAGAAAGACTCATCTTCCTTAGTTCAAATCTGGTCTCAGACACTAGTTGTGTGACCCTGGGTGAGTCACTTAACTCTGGTTGCCTCAGTTTCCCCATGTTTAAAATGAACTGGAGGAGGAAATGGGAAACCATTCCAGTATCTCTGCCAAGAAAACCCCAAGTGGAGTCAAAGAGAGCCAGACATGACTGAAATGACTCAACAGCAACATAACAATGTCACTTTCAGGTCTAAATCGATGATCTTATGAAAAGAGGAAAGCAAAAAAGAAGGGGGTATATTAAAAATTTGGAAACTGCAGTTCAAAATTTGGAAGAAGATTTCATACCAAATCCTAGGATCATAGATTTAGAGCTGGAAGGGAGAATAGATAACATCTAGATCAGGGCCTCTTGACTTTTTTTGTTCATAGGCCACTTTGGCAGTCTGTTGAAACTTATAGACTCCTCAGAATTTTTTAAATGCATGAAAGAAAATACATAGGATTTCAAAGGAAACCAATTATGTTGAAATAATGAGGTCATTTTTTTCTCATCCAAGTTCATGGATCATCTGAAACCTGGATGTGTGTGGACCCAAGTCAAGAAGGCCAGATCTAGTCCAACCTCTCATTTTTCACATGAAGAAACTGAGGCATAGAAAAGTGAAATGACTTGTACAAGGTCACACAAATAATATGTGGTAGAATTTGAACCTGGGTCCTCTCACTAATATTTCAGAACTCTAAACTATCTTGCCTCTTATATTCATAATGTGTTTGTTTAATTAAGTCACATTTTTGATACGTCCGTTTGAAATGCACCAACATGGTATATGTGGAGACAATTATCATTTTATAGCATGTATTTATAGAAAACCAGAATTTATCAATTGTATCTTTTTAAAGGAGGTAAAATTAAGTACAAATCAGTAGCAAAGGGGAAAGAGATTTAGGTTGTAAGTTAGGAAAATAAAAACAAACAAAACTTTAACAAAATTTTAAACCAAAAAACCCAACAAATTCAAGTGAAGAAGAATCAAGTTTGGAAGAATCTGCCAGTTTTCAAACTTTTGGGTACTTGAGGTATGCCAAAGTCTACCTTTTAGTCAGAATCATTGTCTTTCTGAAAGTAGACACATTGAACAAAAGAGAGATTAGTAAAACCCAGGTGGTTTTAGGATCTACTGGATCCTGATCCGTGAGGACTGTGATGTTCCTTTTTCATGAATTTTTCTGAGGAATTTTAATTGTTACAGTCTTTATCTCCACATATTCTTTGAGACCATCTTCCCCTAGCTCTCTTCCATTTCCAGATTCCTTGAAGCCTCCAAAAGGAGTGTGTCCTGTTACAATGTTAAAGGTATTGACCCACACTGTTCCAGCTTGCAGGGCTTGGGTCAAATACATAACTTTGACCAGGTCCCTGGTAAAGATTCCCGCTGCTAACCCATACTTGGTATTGTTGGCCCTCTTAATAACCTCACTGATCTTTTTGAACCTGAACAGGGGCTGCACAGGCCCAGAGATCTCCTCCTTGGCAATCCTCATGTTGTCTCATACATTGGCAAAGACAGTGGGCTTGATGAAGAAGCCCTTCTCCCCAAAGTGCTCTCCCCCACACATTATCTTAGCACCTTCTTTCTGGCCTACTTGGATGTAATTCAGAACCTTTTCAAATTGTTTCTTGTCTACCTGGGGCCCTTGCTGCTCAAAGGGTCAAAGGGATTCCCAACTTTCCTCTGCTTGGCTTTTTCTACAGACCTTTCAAGAAATTCATCATAGATTGAGTCTTCCACAAAGATCCGAGAACCTGCACAACAACACTGACCCTTACTGAAGAAGAGTGCTTCATGGCACTGATCCACAGCAAAACTTATGTCTGAGTCTGCCAGGGCGATACTGGGGCTTTTCCCACCGAGATTCAGGTTAGACTCTGCTGCTGCCTTCTTGATCAGGTGCCCAACCTCTGTAGAACCAGTAAAGGCCACTTTATCAATGTCCGTGTGTTGGGCCACAGCAGCCCCTGCGGTAGGCCCATAACCTGTGATGATGTTTACAACGCCAGGAGGAAAGCCAGCTTCTTTGACCAAGGAGGCAATGTACAAGCCAGTGAGAGAGGTCTGTTCGGCCAACTTCATGATGACGGTATTGCCGGTGGCAAGGGCTGTGCCAAGTTTCCAGCTTTGCAAGGCCAATGTGAAGTTCTATGGAACAATCTGGCCACACACCCCAATTGGCTCATGCCTTGTGTAGCTGACGTGTTCTCCATCTGTAGGGATAGCCTTTCCATGGTATTTGTCTGCCCAACCCGCAAAGTACCAATACACATTAATGGCTTCATTAAGGCCTATGATATGTAAATCTTGGAAAGGCTTGCTACTGTCCAGGGTCTCTAGTGAAGCCAGGTAGATGCGATCTCTCTCTACCAGGTCAACTAGGTGGTAAAGTAAAAGGCCCCTCTGAGAAGCATCCATAGCTGTCGCTATAGTGACCCCAGCTGAAAGATCTCCCGGGCAACTTTCACAGCCAAGTCTACATCTGCCTTATCACCTTCAGCCACGTGAGTGATGATCTCTCCAGTTGATGGATTGATTGTTGGGAATGTCTTCTTGCTGATTGCATCCCTCTACTCATTATTGATGAAGAGTTTATTATATCAGATTTCCAGCTGTAGCACAGGGTTGGGAAGAGATGCAGCAGAGGAGTAGGGAGCAACCCTGCTATAAAGACAGGATAACCTGGGGGCCAAGAGATGCAGCGTGGTACTTCTAGAGGAGGAAAAACAAAAGTTACCTTGAGTCATTATGTTTAAATGCACCCCTCTTGACAAAAGATCTATATTTGTAATCTTGTTACTTGGAATTCTGAGAGTGTTTCAGATTATAATGAACTCTATAGGAACTTGCCTTAAAAAGTAAGTACCCTATTTTGTAAGAGCGAGTTCCTGTCTCACTGTATCAAAGCACAAAATACGTGTTTTGATTCACTGTTTAATGCTATACAAATTTTGGAAGGACAAATCCTTTGCCTGATTACTCTTATGACTAAAAGCTTACATTTGTTGCATGATGGGTAGCTAGGCAGTGTGAGTGTGTGTGTGTGTGTGTGTGTGTGTGTGTGTGTGTATGTGTTTGTGTGTCTGGAGTAGTGAACTGGACCCTATGGATCATATGGGAATATAATTCATATTACATATGTTGTGCAGGTTCAAGATGTTGAAGGGAGTAGAAATTGTGATATAAGATTATTTTTTTAAGGATCTGGGGGATGGGTAGGCTGGAGAGGAGATGATTTAGGGATTTTATGATAGCTGCCAAGAATTGGAAGGACTGTCATGGGGAAAAGGGAGTCACCTTCTTTTGTTTGTATTCATAGGGCAGAATTAGACAAATCAATGGAAGTTGTGAAGAGACAAATTTAAGCTGAATGTAAGAAAAACTTCCTGCCAATTGGAACTCCTCAAAAGTGGAATAGTTGGTCTGGTTACATGCTGCATTTCTTTTCATGGGAGGCCTTCAAGCCCAGACTGGACGACCACTTATTGGGGATACTATAAAGGATTCATATTGGACTGGGTACCTTCTGTGATCTCTTTCAATTTGGAATCAAATCAAAACAGGAAGCATTTATTAAGTGCCTACTATGTGCCAGGCATTGTGCTCAACACTAGAGATACAGAGAAAAACAAAAAATTGTCCCTGATCTCAAGGAGCTCACAGTCTGGTGGGGGAGACAATATGCAACCAACTATGTGCAAATAAGATTTATACAGGAGAAATTAGAGATAATCAACCAAGGGAAGGAAGCAGCGTTAAGATGGAATAGGACAGGCCTCTTGGAGAAGGCAGGATTTTAGATTCTCTGTAATGCTGAATAAAGCTCAGTATCTTGACTTACAGAATCAAAGGATTTGAAAGCTGGAAAGCGCTTTACAGATCAAGTCCTGGCTCCGTTTGACCCTGTGGGTTCAATTATCATCTCAATGTAGATGACTCCCAATTCTAGCCTCCGTTGCCAACTGCCTGCATCTCTGCCTGTATGCCCAGTAGGTGTCTAAAACTCAACATGTTCCAAACAGAATAATGTTTTTAATATTTTAAACCAATGATTTGAAGAAACATAGATGGAATTCTTATCAGATTTGTGGATGACACAAAGTTGAGAGGGATGGCTAACATATTAGATGACTGAGTTGGGATACCCAACAATTCTGACAGCTAAGGCATTGGGCTTAATCTGGTTGAAAGATAAATGTGAAGTGTTATACCTGGATTGCAGAAAACAAAACAAAAAACAACTTCAGATGTACAAGATGAGGGAGGCATGTTTAGACATCAGTTTGTCTAAAAAAAATCTGGAGGCTTTGAGACTACAAACTTAATGTGAGTCAACAGTGAGACAGGTAGTAAAAAAAAAATACATACAGAATAATTGAAAGTAATCCGAGGGAAGACCTAACATTGAGGGGGATCAGAAAACATTCCTTGTAGAAGGTGGGATTTTAGCTGGGACTTGAAGGAAGCCAGAAAGAAGAGATGATGAGGGAGAGGATTGAGAGCACTGGTAGACAACCTGTGAAAATGCACAGTGTCCGGAAATTAAGTTTCTTATGGGAAGAACAACAAAAGGTCAGTGTAACTGGATCACAGAGTATATAGGAGTAAGTTAGTTAGAGGCATAAGTTAATTAGAAAAATAGGTGAGGGGCAGATTATGAAGTACTTTGAATATCAAATAGAGGATTTTATTCTGGAGGTAATAGGGAGTGACTGGAGTTTACTAAATAGGATGGTGTTGGTGGTGTTGGTGACATAGTCAGACCTGTAATTTAGGAAAATCAGTTTGATAGTTGAATGGAAGATAGACTGCAGTAGGGGAGAGAGTTTAGATGGGGAGATCAATCAAAAGACTATTGTAGTAGTCTAGGCATGAAGGGATGAGGGCTTCCACCAGGGCGGCTACAATGTCAGAGGAGTAAAAAGTTAAGAAGAGATTAGAGAAAAGGAAGTGGAGGCAAAAATGGTAAACTCTTTTTCAAGGAGTTGAGCCCAAATAGAGATAATGGCTAGTGGGAATAGATGGATCAAGTGAGAATTTTTTGAAAATGGCAGAGATGTGGGCATGTTTATAGGAAGTAGAGAAGTAGTAGGCAGAGAGGGAGTGGCTGAAGATTAATGAGAGTGGGGATGATAAAGGGAGTGAAGGGCTGGAGAAGATGGGATGGAATGGTACCACTTGTACATGGAGAAGGTTAGCCTTAGTAACATGGGCCACCTCTGCATGGGAGACGGGTGGAGGAAGAGATAATAGGAAATGAGATGGATAGGAGAGGTGAAGAACCTTTAACAAATGACTTCAATTTTTTTTCAGTGAAATATGAGGCAAGGTTCTCAGCTGAAGAGGGGAGGGGGGCTTTGGGAAATGAGAAGGGATGGAAAGTTTTGGAAAAGTCAATGTGGTAAGTGGGATAGTAAATGAATTATTGTCCTTCAGTCATTTCAATCATGCCCAACTCTTCATGACCCTATTTGGGGTTTTCTTCATAAAGCTACTGGAGTGATTTGCCATTTCCTTCTCCAGCTGATTTTACAGATGAAGAACTGAGGCAAACAGATTTAAGTAACTTGTCCAGGGTCACATAGCTAGTAAGTATCTAAGGATGGATTTGAACCCATGAAGATGAGTCTTACTGACTCCAGGCCCCAAAATCTATCTACTCTTTCAACTAGCTGTCCTCAGTGAGTCGATTAGGGAGGTGTAAAAGGATTACCTTGGGGCAGTGAGAACCCAGTTTTACATAATATATATTTGTAGTGGACCTAGTCAGCACATTTCATTATTTTCTATAACTTTGTTCAGTAGCAGGTGAATAGGAGTGAAGGTAGCAAAAGCTGGGAATAATATAAGATTGAAGCTTGGCAGTGCCACATTGGTGACAGGATAAAGGGGTAAGAGGCTCAAGAATAGAATTGAACTGATTCAGATGGAGGAGGAGAGTGTAGAAGAGTATAAAAGTCTAAAAAGATCAAGTTGGCCAAGGCTGCACAAGTAATTAGTGGCAGAGCCACTCCCAGAAGCCAGCTCTTTGGATAGCTTGGGCCATAAGGAGTCTTTTTGACTTGAATTTCTTTGCAAAAGTCAGGTTTGCCACATTCGATTTGTGATTATTTTCCTGGGTCCTACAGTCTATATTGTTATTTAATTTGTCATCTCAATCCATTAAACATCTTTGGAGGCCCCCATGATGGGCTGAGGGTGTTTAGCCTTCTAATAAAAAATAAGCTCTTTCGGGTTTGTAGCACTTGGCTATGGGTGCCTGCAAATCTTTCTCTACCAAGAGAATTTCCTTGGACCAGAAATATGATAGATGATTTAATGATTATTAAATTTTCAACGTGAGCATTTATACCTTGGAAATTGGCAAATTCTACAAATCAGGACTTGACTTATTATTTTGTTAATTGTCTAGACTTAAGAAAGTGATGGATAAATGTTGATAATATAGATTAAACTTAAAAGTGTGTTGTGTGCACAATTTTTTTTTGAGAGCTGGTTGTTAAACATTTGCTATCACACTCCTACCCTGGACCCTTTAACTTCCCCTAGAGGACTTAGTAGAGCTATCTTGGGAGTAGAAAGGTTTTGAACTATGATTTCATTGGTGTGGGAATTTGGAGGGTATATAGACACAAATCTGCAACTAATCTACGATTATTAGTTTAGGGTTGTCTGGGACTCTGAGGGAGTAAGTGATTTGCCCATGGTTACACAGTTTTTATGGATTTGAAGTAGGATTTGAACCCAGGTATTCCTGACTCCAAGAGCAACTCAGGGGCACAGTGGATAGAGTACTGGACTTGAAGTCAGGAAGACTTATCTTACTGAGTCCAAATCTGGCCTCAGACACTTACTAGCTGTGTGACCCTGGTCAAGTCACTTAATTAATGCTTTTTGTCTCAGTTTCCTTACCTGTAAAATGAACTGGAGAAAGAAATAGCAAATATCTCCAGTACCTTTGCCAAGAAAATCTCAAATGTGGTCACAAAGGGTCAGACATGACTGAAAGATGACAACAACAATTCCTGACTGCAAAGTCCCTCTTCTATCCACTACTCTTTCTCCCAGTTGATATGTTATTATTCTACAATTTAATTTAGTGGACACTATGAAAATTCTTTCTCCTGTGATTATTTAGGTTTAAGTTGATTCTTAATTAAATTATTATGGAAAGTAAAGAGAGTGACTGCTTAATAATGAAAATGCCCTAGTGCCTAAGGGTTCTCTATTTGAGTTTCATTAGGTTTTCTTTCAAGGAGCTTTCAGTGTGGGATAACTTAGTATAAAGCACTATTTCTTAAACTGTGAGTAGCAAGGAAATTCCATGGGCACAGGACTGGGGAGCTCCAAACACGTTACACTGAACTGAGAGGTAAAAGATGAGTGTTCTGGCTCCAGTTCCCTTCTGCATAAATTTAAAAAGTTATGACACCAAGAATCACAGTATCTTAGTGTTGAAAAGTGACCCCTGATATCATCTAGTTTATCTGAAACATGAATCCCTACCACTGTGGCTCAGACCGAAGTTCATCCACCCTCCAGCTTCAGTGAAAGGGTGCTCAGTATCTCCTGAGGCAAACTCCATCATTTTAGTATGGGCTCTAATTATCAAGACAATAAGTGGGCAGTGGATGCAGTGCAG